ATTCTGATCTACACTGTTGCATTATGTTATATGATATTAAATAAAAAATCCATGTATCTATTATACCAACTTTTATTTGCATTTTAGAGTCGAAACAATATGCAATTTGAATGATGACAACAAAACTCAAAGGATACGATTCTCATATTGGATGGTTACACAAATCATTACATTACGAAACACAATTAATATTCGTTATGATGACTAAAACAACCAGCTGTTGGAATTAGAAATAATCGCAATGCGTGTTCAATTTGTCTACACGCATCTTGATAATAGAATTAGTTGATGACGGACTTGTTTTCAAGCCTTTCAAATATTATAGATGTTGTATTATAACAAAAGCTTACTACTTTGCAACTACTAAGATTTTTCTCTTTACCATCATATATGTATCTTTTATTCTATTCAAGTATTTCCACTTTGTACCATCGAATATATTGTTACAGAATACAGATTGATTGACAGCAAACGAAGAAAGCGATCATTAAAGTTCTACTGTTGTTGATACTCTGGCTAATAAATGACTCAGTTCTGAGATAAAATATCATGCATTTTTTTGTTCATGAACGTCTATAAAATTTTATTCGGCTATTAAAATATGGTATTGTGAAAATAAGTATGAAAGAGTTACATTTGTTTTTCCATACTGCATTGCAAAGTGACGGCCGGATACACTTTATAGTGGCTAAATGAACAGAGATTCTAGAAAGTTACATCCAATAGTCACACATAAAATCCGCGAACTATCTACTTCTGTAATAATGTTTTTTGAAGGTAAAATTATGTCAAGTCCAAAAACAGTTGCAATTTATCAGTACTAATCAGTTAATGTCAAAATATCCTACCTTTTTAAGCATTGTTTTTTGTTGCTTATTCGCGCACTCAAGAACTCATTCTGATGTAATGTTCATTTATTTGTTAAATATATATATTGGTTATCTAGTAACATGTGCCTATTAATATTTCAAATATTAATGTCTTATTTGTTCATCTCTGTGAACATTTCTTCAATTAAGACTAAATAAATATATTTATTTATCTTGAGAGTCAAGTCTTGTCTCCACTAGAAAACTTAGTACTGAATTAGTTAATCTGATTGATGTTTCCACTTACCAACACAAATCAGATTGCTTTATTCAGTATTAAAATTTTCTAGTGAAGACAAGGCCTTAGTCAACCAGAGTGAACTAACACAACTGTCATATAATGATTAACTAGGATAAATAAGATAAACGACATTGCGTATTAGATCATGCATTCATTCTTTTTTTTTCTCATCCTCTCTTACAAAATCGCACATGGTGGTATGTATTAATTCATGCTTGTCGTTTTCTGCCTTCTAACATAAACATTTCATTTATTTTGTCTTTTAAAGATATAAATATATATTTAAACAATGTTTTTCATCTACATTGACTAACGATTAATATAATTTTACGTGTAATAAAAGCATCAGGTTTTGTATCTATAATGAAAGAAGAACCTAAAATATATGAATGGTAATGAACTTTAAAATATTTTATTATATAATTTTAGACATAAAAAGCAGAAAACTAACCTGAGAAATTCTATAATGGACATTCCTATTTTCATAACATCTATTGAATTTCAAATATTAACTCAAATTTTGTAATTCTCAAGTCTTGATGAATTAATTAGTTAATCGAAATATTGGTGCATGTAAAAAAAATTATATGAAACCATCACAACAAGTTTTGATCTCAATCATTGAAATAAAATTATAATAAATCATAAAGAAAAATTTATTTGGTACAAATGATATTGAATCAAACTTTTGTGAATTCCATGTTGTTCATTCTACTGCAAAAATATTAACAAGTGAAATGATAATGAAACAAATTATATTCTATTATTCGCTGTTAAATTACTTGAAAATGCTGAAAACTTTCTTCATATAGATTTATCATCAAAATGAAATAATCGATGGTTTTAATTTAGCATTGTGAAAAAAAAGAATCTTGAATTATTACCAATATTTGAAAAACAAGTTGATTTAACTCAAGAAAATTTATGTGATGAACAATAAATTGTTTCTAAATTTCTTCAAACGGCTATTGAAAGTAAATTATTTAATTATCATGAATTCTTATACGATTTAGTGACATAAGCTTGTTTTTACAATCAACAATGATATCAGACATGGTATTAAAACATGAAATTGAATCTGCAATAACTAAAATAATTCAAGCAAGAATTGCTATATTAAGTTGTTCAATTGATATTTAAATAACAGAAACAAAAGATACAATATTATTACAATTAGTTGATGAATTATTAACATAGTCAAAGAATTAACAACGACAAAATCTTAATCTGATGCTGGTGCTAATGATGAAAAAAAGACATTTCAATTTTTAAATAAATATAGAATAATAGCTATACATTTATAATGCAAATTTGATTTATATCGTGTAGCAAAAACTATTCATGCAATAGGTTCATCAAAACTTCGAATACCAACACATGAAAAATTGATGCTTTTGATTCAATTTATATTAATGAAATTGTTGATACACATGTTTTGATTATTAAACATCCATAAGATTTATTTCTTTTTTTTTTTTGTTATTTAGACTCTTCATGATTGTGAATGAGCTATAAATAATTTTAAAGTATTAACATGTAATACAATTTTATTACCATGAAGTTGAATTAGCATGAAAATTATCCGGATTATACTCATACATGTCCTGGTATAGAATTCAACATTTTGCGAAAAACATTTGAATGTATATCAAAAATTCTAACAGAAAAATTCCAATGTTGCTACTAAAACAGTCTATACTGTTTTACATATTTATAAAATTATTTGTGCTAAACCAACAAGTGAACTAACATCGAAAGAACATGATAATGATGATTAAATAAATGAAATTTTTCAGATAATAAATCCATATGTGTGATGTTTTTCATTTTATTTTTTTCTTTCTAGAAAGAACTTTTTATACATCAACACAATAGAAATATTTTACCAATAGTTTCAGGTAAATAAACAAAAAAAAATCGTTCTAAGGATTATGAAAATAAACAAAAAATCAGAAATCAATTTTCATTGAGTTTGAATTTTGACTATACTCAAACTAAGTTCATATGTAAATAAGAATTTTCTTCATATTAATTCAGAATAAACTTTAAAAAAAAATCAATGTCGTCTATTCGTACTACAACTGATGAAGAAGAACCTATAGTAACATGTAGTGAATTACTTGAACAAATCGAAGATGAAGAAGAAGAATTAGATCGTGAACGAGCACTCTATGGAAATTGTGATGTTGATACATGTACATATTCACAAGTACGTCACAAATAATCATTTTAATTCAAACAAAAACAAAACAACATGACTTATTTATTTAAGGGATATGTTAGACGACAACCATTATTTGCTTGTATGACATGTAATAATAATGACCAATTAACTGGTATTTGTGCAGCATGTGCATATCATTGTCATGTAAATCATGAAGTAAATGAATTATATACAAAACGGTAGAAATATTGAAATTTTTTTTGAAGTAAAAATTTTTTTCAAAATTTTTTTATTCTTTCAAGATTTTTTCGATGTGATTGTGGCAATTTTAAATTAAGTCATCAACCATGTAAATTATATCCAGTAAAAAAAAAAACTTTATTTTATTTTCATTCATATTTTAATAAATTTTCTAGACTAAAGATCCAGAAAATATTTTAAATAAATATAATGATAATTTTCGTGGAATTTATTGTACATGTAAATGTTCATATCCAAATAAAGAAAAAAAAGTTCGTATCCTTTTTTTTAATGTATACAAAGGATACTCCAAATTTTTTTTAACCAGCCTTTTAGACAACTATTCAAAAGCTACTTCTAGTGTTATTTTTCAAAGTATTGCTCCTCATGAACAATGCACTTGTGCATTTGTTTAGATTAGATTATGGAAGTTCTTTTTGGAATAGTCTTTTTTAGAAATTGCT